AGAAGCTGTGGCTGCCCCTGGATCCCTGGAAGTGTCCAAGGCCAGGTTGGACGGGGCTTGGAGCAACCTGGGCTGGTGGAAGGTGCAACAAGATGAGCTTTAAGATCCCTTCCAGCCCAAACTTTCCCCTGATTCTGTGGTTCCTGCCTTGCCCCACCTGTGTAGATCCGTGCCAGGCTGTAGGAGAAGTCTCTGGCTGCCAGCTCCATGGTCAGGGCGGGCTCTGGTCCCGCTTTCTCCAGGAACTGTGCGAGGCTGCCCAGGGCCCCCCGCAGCCGCTGCCCGGCCAGGGCCAGCTCAGCAGTGCCCGACACCAGCTCCAGCTTTTCCTGCAAACAACCACCACAGGGAAAATTGCAGCGCATTGGCCTCCTGCGAGGGAAGGGGCTGGTGGGAGCCTGCACACGCCCAGCACTGACAGCGAGCTCAGAGCCCGGTGCTGCCACTGGCACTGCCCGGGGGGAGCAGCAGCAGGGAAGGGGATGTGTCCAAGAGGAAGCTCCCTTGCCGTGGGAATGGAGAATTCCTGTGGCCAGCCCCAGGATGTTGCTGTTTCCATGCTGGCTTTCCAGCTGCACGTGGGGACCAGCTCAGAGCACCCCACAGTTGGGTGTCTGAGCAGCACAGTGCTGGGCACTATTTGGCTTCACCAATAACCTGCAAACGAGACTAAAGGCGGTAAAATCTGAACCCAACTGGTGAGAATCAGTTACACAGAAAGAATTATTGATGTTTCTGAGGTGTCGGTGCTGGGGTGAGCACACAGCTCCTCTCACTGGAATCCAGCTGGGCTGGGCTGCACAGGCTGAGCCTGGCTGTGTTCTGTGCCCCAGCTCCTCCCTCTCCATGTCCTCCAACTGCTCAGCCCAGAATCCCACATCCCCAGTGCTGCTGTTCTGGGTTCCAGGGGCACAACCCCCCCCCAGCATGTGCTGGACAAATACAAACACAGCCCCAGTGCCGAGAGAAAGCCCAAAGAATTCCAAGCCCAGGGAATGATAATGAGGTGTTTTAAAGGAGATGGTTGCTGACAAGGATCAAAGACCTCAAAGGCATCAGCATATTCCCAGCAGGTTGTGTGGAAGCCAGAACAGAGACAACACGTGCTCCTGTCAGCACCTCCTGCTGTGGCTGGGGCACCACCACACTGCTGGGAAGTTTGCACCCCTGGAAACACAGAGCAGGAACCCAAAAGCATCATTATAACCTTAGGGGAACAAAAAGACCTTGTATTGTCTTTGTCCTCCAATTTTACACTTTTACTTTTGTTCAGACTGAACTTATTCCTTTCCTAACCAAAAGCTCCTTCTGGAAGATCACACTGGGTTTTTCCGTGTCCTCCCTGCATTTGGGAGTGAGAGGCTGGGAGTTGCTCCAGGGGTGATGCTCGAGGCAGGAGCAGCTCCTGCTCTCTCTCCTGCATGTTGCTCTGCTCCAGCTCCAGGGTGTAACTGGGGGGAGGCACAGACATCACTGCCCTGCCTGCACTGCTCTTTTCTGTCTGAAATCATCAGCAAAAGAGCTTCAGAGCTCCAACGTTTGTGATTCCTTCTGTTTTCACTGAGGAATTTTAAGATGCTGCTCATTTGTTTTCTCTCCATCAAGCAACGTGGTCAGAATGGTTTTTACTTACAAGGCTAATCATGAGTATCTAAAAATACAGCGACAGGAAGAACATCCCCAGCAGGGCTGAAAGCACCATCTCATGTTGATGCTTTAGGCAAACACACAGCCCAGCCTCAGTAACCTCCTTTTGTTTCCTGCTGCCTGAAAATTGGGGTTGTGCTCTGAAAAGGACCTGCAAACACCACCACGTGTCTCAGATTGTATGGTTGATTTCCAGCCTGAGTTACAGCCCTGCACAGACACTCTGGAGGCAGGAGTTGACTCTGAGCCCTGCACGATGCACAGAGGGCTGGAGTTCAGACACTGCCCTGGGATATGCCCAAATTTCACCTGAAGTGACTCAAATGCAATAATCAGCAAACTGCCCAGAGCTACTTTAGAGGCACTTTTCAGATTATAATTGAATTCTAAAGTACACCCAAGGCTCTGGCTCAAAATTCCAGCTGATAAAATTTTAGTACAACATGAAATGACTGGGCTTGTGCAGCATCCACCTGAAACTGCCCCCTTGGTGGAACTGGAATCCAGAACATGTCCTGGGCTGATCCCCCAGCGTGGGCAGCAGGGCAGGGGGATTCTGCCCCTCTGCCCCCTCGGGTGAGACCCCCCTGCAGAGCTGCCTCCAGCCCTGGGAACAGCACAGGGAGGACGTGGAGCTGCTGGAGAGAGTCCAGAGGAGGC